GGAAGATACTATAAATTAGGTACCCAGAATTAACCAGGGATCCCTATGTGAAATATATCAAAGATATTATTGCCTCTAATTTGGCAGTGTCCAGGCTTGTGATACCTGGAGACCTGTAAGTATCTTCCAGAGATACACAGATCCTTCATATATGAAAACATTAAAAAAAGTCCCTAATCAAGAACATTTAGAAGGTAGTCTTGCCTGGTTTTGGGTTCTGACTCTGACACTCATTGACCCTGTAACTTTGTATACATTTCCTCTGAGCTATACTTTTCCCATTGAAAAACTGTGTATAATAATAATCATTGCCTAGTAACATTTTATGAAAATTAAATTAGATACTGCTTGTAAAGTACTTAGGTTAATGCCTAGCTCATAGCATTAAGCTTATGAAATGTCTTTCGTTTTTCATTCATTCTCTCTCATGTTTGTTGGAATGAGGAACACATTCGGTGCCCATTATTATCTCAAGAATGACCATGTGCATTATATTCTCTCATTATAAATTATGATGTAGAYCAATATTTTGCATAGAGCTGCCACTGTTTTTCTCAGTAATATAATTTTATATTAGTAATGTTGACCACTGACAAAATAAGGAAAATACTTCACTGTTGAACAAAATCACAAACAAAAGCAATAACCAGAGGCCAAATATAGTTTAGCAGTCAGTGGGTGAGGGAAGAAAACTGACAAGAGGCTTGAAAGCTAAATGTAAAGGTACCCACAGAAACCACACTGGAGGAGCTTGAACTCCATCCAGCGAACTGTGATTCTTACAAACTCCTCATTAAGCCTGAGTTTATGAAGCCAGGCTGGTTTAACTAATCCCAAAGCATCTGATGAGCAAAGAGCTTCAAGAAATGCTCCAAGACTTCAATTACCTGGAACTTAAGCTCCAAATAGGGGAAAATCCCAAACTTCATTTAGTAAATTCAGTGGCACAAAGAGGCTTCTCTGTGCACAGTAAGAAACTAGCTGTAATATTCTCCAAATAGATGTGTGATATTTAACACTGAAACCTGTTTTAATCTGAAGCAGTTGAAATTCTTTCTCTTAATTTCTTAAAAAGTTACCAAGTTAATAATTTTATGTGTCAGTCATTCATAGAAAATTTTTCTTTAAGGCGCTTTTAGCCTCGTGGAAAAATAATTGTACATGTCAACAAATAAAAATTTAACTATGATAAAAATACATAAATAAATTGGTATTGTTGTTACTCTTGTGGCATGCTTTTTATTCAAGCTTTAGAATATCAGAACATCTTGTCAGATATTGATGATAATTTTTTGCATTCAGAACATTTGATGACTTCATCATGAAATTTGAATCTGGTGATTTTGTCCCACATTCAAGTTGTACTCACTATAGACAAAGGAAACCCACATTCTATTGTTTTTAAATCATCTCATTTAGAGAACTGAAGAGCAAATAAATTAGAGAGAGGTCAGAGTAAGGGAGTATTGGGGCAGGAAAGATGGTGGAATGAGATGGACATCATTACCCTAGATACATGTATAACTGTGCATATGGTGTAACTCTACACTGTGCACAACCAGAGAAATGAAAAGTTGTGCTCCATTTGTGTACAATGAATTTATATGCATTCTGCTGTCATATATACCTAACTAGAAAGCTTGCTGTAAAGAAAGATACTATCTTTATTTTCTTGGTGTAAACTCTGTCCAACCTCAGTATGTGGACAAAAAGTAACTGTTATAATCACACACTGAGTATAAATCTCAAAGAATTTCCAGACCCAAGTTCCAGAGAGTTTTCTGTGTTAGAGTCCTGGGATTGCTGAAGCTTAAATAAACCTACTGCTCAATAAATAAATAAATAAGAAAGGAAGGAAGGAAGGAAGGAAGGAAGGAAGGAAGGAAGGAAGGAAGGAAGGAAGAGAAGTCAGAGAAAAATTCAACCACAAAGTTAGAAAAATAGAGATGGACATGAAGACTGACAAGTGTAACTTCAAATCACATGCATTTCAAATCTCAAAAAAGAAAAGTCTATATTTGAGTAACAATGTTTGTATTTTCAGGGTTTATCTCCTTGGTGGTTTAATCCAAAAGCAGTGATTGAGAATAAGGAGACCTAGCATCTTATCCCATCATAGCCCTGACCTTGTTATATGAAATCTTGCAAATTCTCATCCTCATTATCCCTCAAGTGCCCCCTATGTAAAATGCAGAAGTTTGGGCTGGAATCAATTTCAAGGATTCTTTCTAGTGCTAACATTCATTATATCACCCTTGACAGGCTACAGTCACGTTAATTTGTCACATAACTGAATCCAAACCTGACATGCAGTAAAGTGTGTTTTTTAAAGTCTCCAAAAATGGCTTTTATACTTTCATCCTTAATTGAACTTGATGATCTAATTCTTCCTCACCATTCCCAATTCCTCCCCTTCATTTTTTTCTTGGAACATTTGTTCAGAAATTTGAGTTACCAATCCTGATACCTAGTGTCTAGAAATAAGATTCACACCACCTTTTCAAGTGTTGTAAAGAATGAGCCATTTGTACCCTAGAAATCAAGTGGCTGCCAGGCTGTGTACTCTATCTATACCCCCCTGAGGATACACAATTTCTCTGGCTTCAGAGTCTGTTATATCAAAATCCAGACCAAATAGTGAAGACAGAGCCAAAAAAGTGCACAAGCCATGATTATTTGTTCCCACCAAGTTATGAGTATAAAGTGATTATGATTCTGAGCTGGCATTTGAAGAGACTGCTCACTGTACTGCATTACTATAGAAAAGGAAGCCCCTATTTCAAAACTGCTTTTCAGCACAATAAGGCTCTGCTTTAACTTACATTTCATAGACTTGTAGAAATGAAAAAAAAAGCCAAAATTTAAAGTTTTATCCTTAAAAATAGAAGAGGGCTTTCTAATTGCCTAACACTTAAGTAGTATGCTCAAATTTAACAGAAAGCTAAGCTACACTTGCCTACATTTTGAAGAAAYCTCCCAATCCTATGTGTATGCCTATAGACACTAACACATATACAATATATCTAGGACTAAAATATAATAAAATTCTATTTTAGATATTTTTAGTAATAGCTCAATGATTCTCAACTAACTAAAATTTTCAAGCAACCTCAATTGCAAGAAACCGCAAAGTCTTGTGTGAAAATATTTACTGAAAGTGCAGCAAGCTTCATCAGAGAGATAGCCTTTTAAAAAATCAAAAGTTGGGCTGGGGTTGTGGCTCAGTGGCAGAGCACTGGCTTAGCATGCATGAGGCACTGGGTTCGATCCTTGGCACCACATAAAAGTAAACAAATAAAATAAAGGTATTGTATCCATTAATAACTAAAAGGAAAAAAATCAAAAGTCAATTCTCTACCGGTGAAAATTAATTTGGGGGCACACAGCTTTATCTTATTCCTTTTAAGTGCAGTGGATTGTATGCTGTTTCTAACAAACTGGTTCAGTTTAAACAGCACTCCACGCACCATGTATATCCTCYTTTTTTTTTTTTTTTCTAACTGCACTTCAAGCTAAAGACATTGCCATTTTAATTATGACAGGGATTTTAAAAATATTCTTATGCAGTTATTCAACTACTATAAGTAAATATGCAATTTACATCCTTATTATTACATTTTAGAACCCAGTAGAGCAATAAAAAATAGTCTGCAATGGCTTCTTTTTTTTTTTTTTGCTGTTGTTTTCAAATTTACTTCAATGACTTATATTCTAATCAACTTTAACTGGGAATTACTTGCCATTTCTAATGAATTTCTAAAAGTTTTTGCCACCTGTGTGAAACTCTGTGGAAAAAAAAAAAACTAGTTTAATTATTTTCTTCCAGATTTTTTGTTTAGCTGAAGTTATTAAAGATAATAACTGCCATTTTTGTGAGACTGTTTGCAATGTATTAGTAACTAGGTCTTAGTTTGGTTAATAGAGTGTGGATGTTTGCTTCATCAATAATACTTAAAATAGATTGAATATTCACTGTGCTGTAGACACTCTATTCTTTACATGAATCATCTCATTTAGTCTCCACAACAACCTTGTGAGACTAGTTCTATTATGTCCTGCTTTTTGAATAGAAACCTTGCTACAGGGGAACTAACATGGAGAAATCCCATATGATGGAGGAAAAAATAGAAACTGGTTTTGCCTAACTCCACAAATATAGTTTTTTTTTTTTTTTTTTTTTTGCATTACACAATACTGACTTCCATTATAAATGATGCTTTTGAAAAAACAGGCTATAAATGGATTTAGTAATTGTTTTAAACCCCAAGAAAACGCAAAGCACAATTTCGGGTGCAATGTTAAATGTTTGTCATCTTTGTTGTACGAAGTGATGTTGTAAAGAAGAGCTGTGTTGGAATGAACCCATTATACAATGGCCATGTTGGAAGTCTCCCAATTTTTAAAAGGATRCTGCACAATCTTTTATGCAACTGAAATTTTAATGTGAGTTATAAATCTAATTAAACCCAATAATAAAATATTCATGAAAAAGTACAATTAAATATGCTAATAATTCTGATAATATTTGAATGGCTGAAATATCAATCTTTTTAAAATTTGCAAACAATTTAACAAAGCCTCTTGAAATACCTTTAAAAAAGTAGCCTATAAGGACATAATTTCTAAAATAAGCMTATTATAAAAACAATATAGAAATGTGCCTCTTGGTCTAGGGTGTTTCTTCTGTGGAGTATTCTAAAGCATGTAAGTGGGATAAGGTGAATTTAAAACAAAAATCTTGAAAAATAKCCATTTCAAGCATGAGGCATATATCTCCACTGTGGTTTCGAAAATGCAATTGATTTTCCCCCTGCATTATACTTTAAATACACGGTGTCCAGTGCGGCCAGCTAGGGAGTTTCATTGAGTGAGTGAACCCATCTGGTAGAGTGTTCGAATATGTGCTTGAGTGGACACTCTGAAGGGACAGAAAGGAGCAGAGCGAAGCCCTGGCGCCGTGTCACTGCTGTGGCCGAGCAGGCACCGCGCAGAGCACCCACCTAGCAAGGTCAGGACGCAGGCCAGGATGGCCACCAGGGCCCCCGTGCTGAGGCCAGCAGGCAGGACGTAGGCCTCGGCGTTGCAGGTCTGGGCTACGCCGTCGGAGTCGCAGTCACAGACGCGGATGGTGAGCGTGTTGGTGCTGCTGAGAGACGGGGACCCACTGTCCACGATGAAGATGGGCAGGTAGTACACCGACTGCTCTTGTCTCCGGAAGCCGTTCCTTCTGGTGAGGATGGAGGCCGTGTTGTCTAGGGTAAAGAAGGTCAGACAGAGGTCAGGTGGCAGGTGAGACAGAGGCTCCCAGTGGACTCCTTCCCTTCGGTCCCTCTGTCTGTGTCAGTCCTCAAGTAGGGCAAGCTCCTGATTTCAGACCATTGCTCAAAGACTCTCTGAATTCGTTTGGACAAAGAGACATCCTTCCAGTATAACACCTTTAAGACATTTAKGTTATCCCACACATATTCTGTTATTCTACACAATAAAAATCTACATAAAWTTGTGCAACATCTCAAACCAAGTAGTTTTAGAGTCAAGGTGGAAATCTTAACAGGTTAAGTATTTTTCTGCAGCAACATCATGAGGCATGACTGAATTTTTTTTTATTGGTTGTTCAAAACATTACAAAGCTCTTGACATATTATATTTCATATATTAGATTCAATTGGGTTATGAACTCTCATTTTTACCCCAAATACAGATTGCAGAATCACATCGGTTACACATCCACGTTTTTACATGATGCCCTATTAGTAACTGTTGTATTCTGCTACCTTTCCTATCCTCTACTATCCCCCCTTCCTTCCCCTCCCATCTTCTCTCTCTACCCCATCTACT